AAATCTTACAAATAAAATTTTGTGTAAAAATTGGCAAAAACGTAAATGAATACGCGTGTAATATAACAGTTTTGTGTGTCATTATAAGAGTTAAAACCACTCGTATGTAATTTAGTTTAAAATAAGTATTAACACCTGATGCTTTGCATTATGTTAGTAGCTTTCAAAACACACTCAACTCTTAACATACTATATGTCTTCCATAGTATAAATTTATAATTAATTATTCGATGCTAACGCTATTTTTGTTAAGCTACCCATAGACTCATACATCCGGCTCGAAGGACCAAATTAAGATAATAGTAAATAAAATTGCTATAATATTCCGTTGCTCAAACAATCTGGTATGCAGGACGTGTGCTGTCTTCTGGACCGTTGCTTCCAATATCCTCGTCGGAGTGCGCGCGATTGCGGCTGCCAATTTGCCTTGCTGCATGCAGCGCCTGACGACATAAACCAATGCAGGTAGCAGAGCCCCGCCCGCGCTAAGCCGCGGGCGTGCCCTCACTGCCAATGTCGCTGCGCTGGTTGCGACCACCAAGTAAGCCACACGCTTACTCGTGTGTTCAATTCGTACACCATAGAATAAAGGTTATTTAAAAAGAACCATTTGATTAACTTTTCATTGGATTGAATTTTCTTATTGAATTAAAAAATTTGAACCAAATAGTGCTTTCTAAATTCACAAACTACTTTGTTCTAACCGTACGAATTACAAGTCGCGTCACGTTTTTGCTATTCCAACACGCACGCTCAAATTGTATGGTTTTGCACAGGCATCACGATTGGATTTTCACCTCATGGTTGTACACGGCTGCTGCTGTTTTGGCTCGTTTTTCATAATTTTTTGTATCGTACTTTTCAGCTTTTCCAGACAAATCTCAGATTTTTGGGAGCAGCGGGTTTTTTACAAATAAATAATACCTTTACCTCCATGATAGCGTGTTATTCTCAAAATGAAGTTATACTGGTAAAACTGTTTGCTCTTAAGTTCGAAACTTGTGTATTGTTGAACAGACTGCCTTTAAGCAGAAGATTAAATATAAACGTTCAGCAATTACTAACTAAAAAGGACAGGTACCGATTAATTTTGTAATAACGGTTCAAATAATTATAATATTTACTTAAAAAATACTTCTATTAATTTATAATTATACCAATTTTACAAAACCGACCGATATTTTGATTTAAATTGATCAATACATTAAAAAAAGTACATTGCAAGAATTTTTCTGTATAATAATATCACAAATATTACATAATACTACGTTGTTCATAAATTTACAGCAGAATTTTATACAGTATTTCGTTTTAGCAAACAAATATTTCCATCAAAAACAGTAAATGTTTCCACATATTAAATTTTCTTATTTCCTTTTCGTATCATTTACCATTTCGTGGTATTGGATTGAGCGAACAATGTGAGCTATATTGGATTAAAAGTCCTTCGCATCGTTGGCTGAATAGATAGAGAAAAAATGAAATATTTTTAATAGAAATGTGTCAGGAATACACAATGGAGTTATGAATGAAGCTAAGTCGGTGCAAAATGCATTTTCAGCGTATCACATTTGTCTCGCAATAAACCAAATCAAGCACATTTATTTACCATTTTTTTCGTCACATTCAAGTCACGCTGTGAATTTTTATTCTTGATGCTTTGTTATATTTATTACACTGGAAATGTAAGCCAATGGAACACTTTGTACTCGCACATTGATGTGTTAAAAGCTTCATATTCATATAACTTTCTGTTAAGTTAAAATACAGTATTCTATTGTTTTTCTAATATATAATTTCTTTAATATTAAAATTTCGAGATTTATTTTAAAAAAGATACACAATATACCTTAAATAATTCAAACTTATCACAAAAAATAAGATCTTACTTTGTTTTTTTTTAAATTTAAAAGTAGTGTTTGAATGCATAATTTAATTTTTTTTTTATTAAAACGTATGTGAAAAATACTTAGTTAGGTAAAGAGATACAAAAACAGTCAATTTTATAGGATTGTTATTTACTTTTAAATTCTTTACACATTAATATACTTTGTCCATAAACTAACGTGGCGTGTATTGGCGCTTTAGTATATTTATTACACTGGAAACATTAACCAATGAAACACTTTGTCTCGCAGCTCAGCTAAAAGCAATTGAGCGAGTTGTTTGACTTGTAAATTAGACATGTGTTTTTTCAATAAGATATATTATACCTAAATTATAAATTATTTAATATATAATTGAATCACATTTAAAGTAAGGGTAAATAACAAATAAATCGAATTATTTATTGTATATCAAAAAGAATTAATAATTAACAAATAAAAGACTAGCGGACCTGACAGATTTTGTCCTGCCCAAATACTGTCTTCACTAAAATCTTAGAACCCCACTGAGCGCCACTACGGAGTCCAGTTGTGAATCTGAACCATCCAAAACCCATTCAAACACGCAAAAAAATCATCAAAATCGGTCCAGCCGTTTGGGAGTTTTTTGACACACGTACATAAGAATCTATACTAATTTTATAAATGTGAAAGTTTATGAGTATTTATGGATGTTTGTTCTCTTTCACGCCGGCTGAACGAGTCTGGATGAATTTGGCACAGAGATAGATTATAGTCTGGAATAGCACATAGGCTACTTCTTATCCCGAAAAAGTATATGGTTCCCGAGGGATAAATTTGTTTTTGTTTCCGCTAGTTATATATATAAAGAAGATTAACAAATTTCTTAAGCTCGTAATGCTATTTTGTTAAAAAATTATGTACCTCTATGAATATGGCGTGGTTGGTAGAACTTTTAAAACTATCCAATGCGTCTATTGAATTGAAATTAATAGCCGTACACTCAAATCGAACATTTTCTTAACAAATATCCATGATTTCCTTTTATATTTGCGAAGCTTTTGCCTCTGAACAATAAACGAAGTTAAGTTTTTATTCCTGAACACTAACTCACGAATCGCGTGCTTTACATTGACAGTCCTGCTAAGGCTTTAGTCTCATATAACTTTTCAAAATATGGACTTTATTATACGAGCTATATATATGTATGTAGGTATATTGTGCGCCAACTTTTGGTCCAACGTTTGTTAGGTTCTAGTGTTCAAATAATTTTAACATTATTTGTGTGGGTTATACGGGTTCGATTCTCTTACTTCTAACTTAAACAATATTTCTTAGCCTTCGCGAATATTTTAGTTTTTAATAATTAAGAAATATAACGAGTAAAATAGAAAGCTAGTAATGCTTGTTTGTTACTTTTTCATGAATGTGTAAATACGTATTTCATAGAATAACTGAACGGTCAATAAAATATTCTACTTGGATTAAACTCGTTGCCCGCAGTAGATAATGCCAGTCATACAAATGTCATACTGCGTCATTTAATCTATATACATACATGATATGACTTAGCACAAAAATGTGGACCAACACTTGACGCGTCATCGTTCAAATACAGTGTTGTAGAGTGAAAAAAAGAGTCAAGTAAAAACACTCGATAGCGTGTATCGAAAAACCAACGTTGGTTGTGGCATACGCCAACATTGATTGAAACTATACATTAACAAAGTTTGATACATTTAATATTTAGAAGTTCTCATAAAGACTTAACTTTGAAACAAATATATCGCGTTTTACAAGCGATGAGCTTTGTTACTGTCATTAAAACAATTTTATAGCCATTTCGACATAATATTTTATGATTACAATTATGAAATATTATAGAATAAACCCCGTTGATACCATGGTATAATATCGTACTAAATTATACTGCAGTACCAGTAGTTAAAGGAGGTTCTCTGGTATGAATCCCAGAAATGTTAATGCTATTTATTGATCACGTAGTAAGTTTTTCTTAGACATCAAAAGTACACTGCCTTAATAATATTAGTTTAAAAAAAATAAAAAAACATGGAGTGAACCAACTGTATTGTCAAACTTATCATCATGATTGAAATGAGTAAGCTCAAACTCGAATTACATTAGGTTAATATGATCGAAGACTTCATTACACAATTTAGTTACAAGCGATTAAATGTTTAAAAATAACAACATAGAAATAATAAAAAATATATCCATCCATATTTTGGGTTATAGGTACATAGACATACACATAAAGTGTTTACTTGTCATTCTGATAGCAGGCTGATAATTAAATAACAAGCTTTTTTATTTATTTATGTTTCTCATTCCTCTACTCATTATCACTTCAAATTTTGAACATCTTTCATTAAATTTGATATTGAAAACCTTATCAATATGATAACATAAATAGTTAATTTACCTAGAGCATGTTCATTATAGAAATTTCTCTGTTGCTACTTCATATAACAAATAATGAAGACCGCAAAGTTAGTATAACGTGTATGAAACTAGACGGTAACTTATTATAGAAACTCCGAAAAGTTATACTACAGTTAATTTTATCTAAAACTTCACTTATAATCTTTCTAAAATTTTGTTAAGAATGAAAGTGTTTAAATGTTATTATTTTCATATAATTTTCCTTCTAACTAATAAAAGTCAAGCTGTCAATATTTATTACGGTTCGTAATCAAATTCTACTTTCGAATTAGTTTTACTTATACATTCAGACTTTGCACAGTTATAAAAATATTATTTGGTTTCTAAGTTCTTGCAAATAGAAATATATTTATACACTATTAAACACACGTACTATAAAGATGTTAATTTTTCTATAAAAAACTAAACATTTAGAATAAAATATCAAGGTAAAATCAGATTAATTGTTAGTAGCAGCTTAATTCCTAAATTATATAATGTACCTAACATTACACTGTTCTTAGAAATAAAATAATTTTACAGTGACATTTGAAAATGAGACTTACTTGTAGATATTTTTTAATGAATTCATTTATCAGATTATTGTATGAAATATGTATATATATATTATGTATTATATTCATCTTATCTATTAACAAAGGTATTTAAAACTTTATATATTTCGTAGTGCTAATATTATATTTTTTACAGCATATGCGTTGGTCCCACACGCACACACAGAGTCTAGAATGTGAGGAGCGTTTATTGGCGCGGTGCAATCGCCCGCGCGTTAACTCAGCGATATTCGTATCAGCTGAGCCTACAAGCTTCGCTGGTTTCGACCCAGGCGAGTTTTTACGTCGACACGGCTCTCAGTCTAAGCTGTGCCGGAAAGCAAGGTAAAAATATGGACGTTTTATATAAAAATATAGATAATAAAGTCTCATCCATTTGATTAATTTACTTATTAAACACTAGTTTTTGCACCCTGTTCTGCTCTCGCAGTAGATATGTCGATAGTCGCAGTAGGTATAGTCGATGATGAGTGTTCACTTTGTTGTGATGGTGGGTGGCTCATAAGCGTCCGGCAATCTAGCCGGGCGTGAAGCCAAGGGACACACTGAAAGGCGGCCCAACTGGGTGGATAGTGTACCGTGTGGGTTGCTCCTGGTACTTCTCTCATAGCAGAATGAAGCATGGGAGCAAACTCTTGGTTGTTGTTATCTGCTCTGGTAGGCCTGTCGTCGGGGCGTCATGGTTGAGTGCGTAAGCAATTCTGCGACGTCCTATTAAGACGGAAAGAGGTTCCGTTAGGTTTTATTGGGTAGTACTGGCTACCTTAGCCGGTGAGTCCAACATAAATACCTATAAGCACGCAGGTGGTATGCGTAAATGCATTTCCTAACGTTAAAAAAGAGTAGTTACATTGATAAAATCTATATATTCAGGATACTTTTATTCTCCATCAAATCCGTTGAGCCACTACGGCTTGAACACGTAACAAACTAACATACTTGCTTATCTATATACTAATAAATAAAGAGCCGATTTTTTTGTTCAGAGGCGTTCAAACGCTAGTATAATATGAGTGTGATTAATGTGATGGTCGTTATTTCCTGAAAACCTTGCTTGATTTTGTATACTTACTTTTGCCATTAATCAATAATTATAAAAAAAGAACAAAATGATGCTTAAAATAACCCTAACAATATATTCTGTTAAAAAAATCATAATTCCTATTTAGGAAGTGAATACATAAAACATCATTTTTCTTGCGTATGTAAGTAGGTCTCAAAGTAAAACCTCAAGTAAAAATTGTAGGAGCACAGTAACTTACAGTTATATACAAACATTTTTCATGAGCTACAGTTGTCAATCTAAAATATATCCTATGCGGAAGAAACGTAAGGTTTAAAATATAAAATGGGCATTCCAAATGTATGCTAGTTTTTATCTCAGTGGTATCTTCCCTTTATGACTTCAGACATTTTAGATTACTTTGGGACTTATGTGGTAACTGATGAGTATAAACGAACATACATAATATGTACATATATACCTCTTCATTATATTTACTTCATTTTTTAGATGCGAAAGTAGAACACGGAATTATAAAGCTCTACGATTGCTGCATGTCTAGTTAGTTTTTTCCACAATCACCATTTACAGTATATATTATGACAAACGTCATATAATCACTATTGGATAATTATAATATTATTTTTGATACAAAATATATATTATATATATAGTTGATTTTAAACATGTCATATGGTATAATATTGGACCATACTTAAGTAGGTAGTTAATTTATTCAACCTTTTGCTGTGTACGGGCCTCCCCTTAATGCAAGAAGCAGGCCATAGTCCATCACGCTGACGAAGTACTGGTTGGCAGACTTCACTTGTCTTCACTAATTAGGTTCTCTTAGACATGTAGGTTTTTATGCTGTTTTCCTTCATTATTAGACAAGTAGTAATCATGTTGGGTGATTCGCACATGAAATCATCGAAGATATCAGAGTTCCGGAGTTTGAACCCACCTCACATGTTTTTTCAAGCGATTGAAATTTTTCTGACGTACCAGCACCCAAAAAATTTATGATTATATCATAATTATAAATAAATGTTACAACGTGCTAACATATTTAAAAGGAACGACAAATAAAAAAATAATTTATTAGAAGTCTATGATGTTCTTATTGACTTGAGTATGATTTATTTAGAAAAAGGCTTACAACATTTATTTAATTTACAGATCGGCAGATAACATACCACTTACAGCAATGAGTGATTCATCAGAAAGACTATGTAAAGTCAAAGCGCCACGAGAAGACACTATAAATGAGGAAGCAAAGTCGGATGATAGCGGCAGTGTTGAAACTGTCAAACATTTCGGCTTACCAATCCTCTCCGTGTCTGGTCCATCGCCCCCAGATGAAGATTATGATCAAATAGATGAGTATCTGTAGCATTTACATACTAGCTTTCAGCTAAAATATGCTCTTGAAAAGATGAGGCCGCCTTGGCCGAGTCCCGCACAAAGTCCTTGAAAGACTCTTTGACTCACTTCCATCTTTTCATTGGACTACATGAACTATAAATTAGTGTTTATCTTTCGAATGAGTGTTGTGTGCTAGCTAAGTGTGTTGAAGTGAGTAATTTCATTCGCAGTCTATATTGAAGTATCTATTGAACTTGAACTAGATCTTTGTGCGAATTCAATGTTTAATAAAATTTTAGGCTGCGTGTATGTTTTACAACGAATGTTTAAAGACTTATTTTGAATTAATTTTGGTTTAATGGATATTTTATTTCATTAAAATAATTGATTTAAATAAAACTACGGCGAAGTTTTCGTATCGGATATATCATTATATTTTATATGAAGTGAAAAGTGTAGCATTCTTTAGGGCTCGATTCTATTAAAAGTGTGTCTTGATGTGGGACCATAGACTATACGTGTTTGGTCTATTCTTACCATAGTTTTATCATAGTCTGTAATTTTCACGTCTCTATTGAGTGTCTATATACATTAAATATCATCAACGTGTAATTCAATTATTACCACTAATAGCGTGTAAGTTCTGCACAATACGTTTACAATTTGTCGAAATTTTTATTGTGCCACTTAAACATTGTGTATATCTATATTAATATTCTCATAAGAGATTCTCCTGTAAGTATCAATTATATTAAATTCTACGATGTAATTATTTTAGTGTCTTAAATCTAAATCTAATAGTAACTTAGTGCTAGTCCATTTGATAGATTCTATAGTAACTAGATTTCGATTGCCTGTAGTTATACTGCATTTGTCTTGAAGACTTACATTATATCTATGTAGAAGATTAGCGTAGATTTGAAGGTTGAACTTTGGTCCAATGATATAATATCTGCACACATGGTGTTTTAGAAAGTAAGCAAATGATGAATTTTTAAAATAACATCAGATTGTATGGTTATATTACAGTAAGTCACATTTCACTTAAAAATGTTTTTCACGATGCGAGGTATGATGGTTTTACTTTAATTTACGAATTAGTTTGAAAAATTACTCAAAACATTAAATGGCATATTCATACAACAAATCGTACGTACATTCATAGCTTTTAAATATCACAAAATATATATTGTCTAATATCTTTATTTTACAATTATATTTGGATTGTAGTCATTTCATATTAAATTTAATACATATTATATGTTTTGTAAATTGTAAGTCAATTATATTCAAACTTTTGTAAATAAAACTAAAATATTTCAAATCAATGGCACTAAGTAAATTTACATCTACATATAAAGAAATGTTATTCTTAGAAAAAATACTACACGTGAGCGATTATAAATGATTATTTTATTAATGCTTTTACAAATTAAAAATATCACTATAGTTCTCTTGAATCTGGAACGTTTTGGAGGAACTGGGATCGCGTTATTTTAATATATGTTGTGTCTAAATTATTCTAAATTCGTTCATTAATTTTCATAAATTATTCTAATATTATACGTGTGTTGAATTTTGTGTATGTTGAAAAAAGGTTGATCCACAATGATTTCCATATGTATAATAAGTATTTTCAAAATTCCTTAAATAATAAAACCATTCATAATTGCTTACGTGTATAAAATACGATTCTTAACTGGTGTTATGGGACCAGATGATATTGATAGCTTAGAAATCGTGGGTCATTTTGCCTCGATACCAGTTTTGAACCTAAGACTATTTTATTCCCTCCACTATTTATAGATGCCATGCTTAAATTTTCATCCAAAATTACAAAAATGAAACGTAGGTACCTTTCATTCATCACATTATAAAGACATTTATGCAAATAATGATTAAGATTTATTACCATTTTAATTATTTGCATTTTAAGCTTCCTCTCTCAACAACAATGAATGTTAAAAGTAATCCTCTTATAAATTAAGAAGAACCGTACATAAAAGTTGAATAAACGTTGTCCAGTATCGTATTCCAGAGGTAATTAAAATTATTACCGACAGTTATTCCTTAAGGAATACTCTTTCCTTTCATTAGTAAAATAATAAAACTCGATGTTTTATTGATGCTAATAAAATAATATATCACAATATAATATTTGACGATATTTGCACGAAAATATATTAAATAAACTTACAATGGTATAAGTGTATTTAGGCGTGATGTGATGAATTTATTCGTGTTTTAGACTTACATAGTTTTACTGATTGTTGCGATGCGGATGAAATTTTGCTTCGGAAACGAAAATGAAGACTAAAAGAACTTAGACAAGAGATGTCATTCTACAATCGTTGAGGACTAGAAATCTAATTCAAATATATATATATATATATATATATTATATATATATATATATATATATATATATATATAACGTTAATACCTCTTCATTCTACGTGACATTGGCGAAGTTATCTGTGCATAAATGGCACGCTTTTAAACAAACAAGAAAATTAAATTAAATAAATATAATTTTTAAAGTTTCCATTCTTCAACGATTAAAGAACTTCTCGTCTAAGCCCCAAAAATAGAAACCCCTATATAGAACCCTTCATAATAATAGTGCAAAGATATAATTGAATAGCCTCATTCTGATAGTGTTTTAATCAAATTCGATGTAACCCGTAGTAAATTTTAAAACCCCCTCACATAATTATAAATAATATTTAATTAGCCTACTGATATACTATAGTTGTCTTGTGCCAATATTACTTGCTAGTTTCTGTTTGCAGTTTCGTCCATTCATGTTTAAATACTAATAGGATTTAAACGTACTATTGCTGGTAACATTTAAGATTATACATAAGTTATTTGAATTTATATTGAATGGAGTGGGGATGACAGTGTTTATATATCTAAAAATGGTTTTGTTACTTTTAGATTTTTTCTTTTTATTAGCAATATACTTTATCATATAAATGAGTTATATGTACTTAAATAAAACTATCTTTTCGTGAGAAAGAGGTCTCTTCCTGATTATAATTGCTGTCAAGCATACGAGACGTCGGGAATCAAAAATTAAAATTAATCCGCGAAAAAGTTTGTAAAGATAGTTTTATTTATAATGTCAATAAATTATTCGAGTAAATATAAGAAAGTATTATATATATTTCTTTATGAGGTATATTACATAATTATTTACTTTTATATACATTTCTGGGATATATCATCATTATTTAACATTGTCATGTCTACTCGATTTAAAAGTTATTGAGTTGAAATTAAGGGTTTCATTTGTAATGGATAAAGTCGATATTTTTTGTATGATTTGTGAGGATTTATCATGTTTTTGATTTTTATTGTGAGATTTAGGTGTAGTGCTGTCTCACTTCTTGTCATACTAGTATATTATGTAATAATAATTTAATATATTAACATATTAGAGTAGCTTTTACATGATATTAGAACATGTGTAATTAAATATGTAGATTTGTCTTAAAATTGTACATATCTATTGATCACTAAATTATTATATACTGCTCATAATTCGTATGTATATTTCATAATAATATGTAACTAATTTTATTGTAAAAACATAATTTATATCTTTAAAACATCTATTTACTATCACAATGAAATAAAGTCTTTGAAAGTAAATAGTGGTATTTTTTTATCCTTACGGGAAAGTACTACTCCATTTTTAACTAACTTCCAAAAAGGAAGAGGTTCTCAATTTTTTAAAAAACCAAGTATAGTTTTTTTTAATAAATTGTTTAATCGTACAAGTAATTAAAAAAACTTTCTTCTCACAAATTACCTGCTTATTACGTTTACACTAAAAATAGAAAAATAAAAACTTAAAAAAAAACCGACTTCGGGGCACTAAAATGTAAAAAATAACTAAACGGGGGTTTTCGTTTAGAATAGATACCTAATCAAATATTTTCGAAGTCGGTGCCAGCCGACAATATATTATTAAGGTATGAATATCTAATAGGTAAATTGTATCGAAATATGTATATTAGATATGCTTTGTATCGGCTTATGTATTTCTCCACGACATAGTCTGTCTGTATATAAAATTTCATCCAAATCCGTTCATCTATATATATATATATATATATATATATATATAAACATATTGCTTTTGAATATATAAAACTAGTTAATCCAATAAAAAATATCACATTGACATTCTATACCATGTAAAAAATGGTACTAAAACATTCAAAGTAGCACGAAGGTTTACACGATACTGTGTAAAAAAACATTACTGGCGTGGTGCGTTATAAATCACTTGGTAATTATTTCAAAGACTTATTTACGTTTAACTAAAGAAAAATATTTTTATTAGCTAAACTGCCTTTTTAATGTAAAGATATTACCTACTTTAATTCATTTTAGCAGTTATAGGATGTCATTGGAACCATTCTTTGTCTATTATGCTAACGATATTACCTTAGTAATACTATGATTAAGCACACTTAATATTATGCAAGAAGCTTTCGATTATTTTAATTCAAACTATAGTTATTTTACAATAATAGTATTACTTAGGTAATATATTTAGTGATATTATTAATTTAAAATTACTATAACTAAGGTAATCATATATAAGATAATATATAAGATCGTATACACCTACACTTTATCGAGCGATTAAGTCATCTTGAAAGCATTTAGATTTCCACAAATATTTGAGTTGTAATATTATCTGTGCTAATAGGCCAATATTTCCTTAATCGGTCAATGTTTAATGTTATCTATACAAATATCTCTAGGTTTGTAGTATACTTGTCTCGATTATCGATATCGACTAACAAAATATAAATAGATGTAAAAATACAGTTTTTTTAAAAAGGTACCAGAGCTTTAAAATGAAAAAAGTAATGTGTTTTTTTTATTTATATGGGGTAATTCTTAACGTTGATACATATATACATACATCGGTATTATATATATCATAAATGTAAAAGTTTGTGAGTATGTATGGATGTTTGTTATTTACGCTCTCACACACGGCTG